GAAGTTATATGGATGATTGTGAATCTCGATAGCTTCCCTGACCAGTCTATTGTGATAGCCGTTGACTGATGACAGCAACCTGCAGCTCCCAAAGTGTATTATGTGGTCCCCATTGCTTAGAGCATGTTCAGCTAGCGCAGACTTCTCAGTTTGTCCTAGCCGGCAATTTGCTTTCTGCTGCTTGAGTCTCGTTCCCATTGATCGTTTCGTGGTTCCAATGTATACTTTGATCCATGAACACGGTATGCGGTAGACTACTGCAGCTGAGAGTGGGTCAGCTACAGCAAGAGGGACATCGAAAGATCAATGGGCGTGAGATCAGCCAGGCCACGTGAAACCGAACAGCGTCCCACCATCTCTCAAGCGTATCGTCCATTTGTGCCAAGAGTCATGGACAGGATTGGCAGAGTCCTGAAGAGAATGACATTAAAACAATCTTAAAGCCTACGAAGAAGATCCAATAAACCATCAGATCGGCAAAGGACAAGAAGGAACCACTCTCAGCTGCAGGAGTCTACCGCATACCGTGTTCATGCGGCAAGGTATACATTGCAACCACGAAAGGATCAATGGGCACGAGACTCAAGAAGCACAAAGCAAATTGCCGGCTAGCACAAACTGAGAAGTCTGCGGTAGCTGAACATGCACTAAGCAATGGGGACCACAGGATACACTTTGGGAGCTGCAGGTTGCTGTCATCAGTCAACGGCTATTGTGATAGACTGGTCAGGGAAGCTATAGAGATTCACAATGATCCATATAACTTCAACAGGAAGGAAGAGACCCTCAGGCTCAACCCGATCTGGCACCCGATCGTCAGAAACGCCCGAGCAGTGCCGATCGACATCCCGAAGTCAACCGAAGCGGAACAAGCCACGTCACCTACCCTCCGGTATAAATACAACCTGCGCAAGATAAATCGTCAGTCTACATCCAGCATCGGAAATGGAAGGACCTCTGAAGAAGCTTGCCGCTCGTGCTAGCGAAACGTTAGAAAGAAATTCCAACCGACGACGGCATTTATATAAAAACTTTTTCATTTTTAGTATATTCATACTCTCCCAACACCAGTAATTCTATACATCTATTAGCCATATTCCACATATCATAGACTTCGCCTTTAAAACTTAGAACGATGGAGAAATATTTTCGATCCGCGTACTTCTGCTACTTAACCTCACCACCTTGCGAACCGGTCCGGCTGACTAATCTATCCGTACTGCAGGGCAAAAAACATATGCACGGACCACACACGGAATAAAGGAAAACACGCTGAACCGATGCAGCGCTGGTGTGGGGAGGGACAACGTTGCCAGATGGGCAGTAACAACCGCAGGGAAAGAGTAATTGTATGTGACTGTTTGTCTGAATTAATTGATTTAATTTTTTACGTTAAGTTAAAATAAAACCGACTCAAACATGGCAACACTGACGGGAAGGGTTGAAATTTATTCTAATTGATTTTGCGACAGATCCCCGAGTAGTTATTAACCTATTAGGAACGAATACCGCAATCCTTTAGATAATCCTTTAGGCTGTCCTTTCCACAAAATTGAACTCTAATATTATTTAAATTGCGTACAGGCCAAATCCTACCCAGAACACCCAAAAACATCTTTCAATTAAACGGTTATTAGCAGGGGTCTACTCGTTTCGTAGACATACGCTCAATTTGCTAATAAAATTACGATTCACGGCTGGATTTACTTTAATTAAGATAAAAGAGGTCCCAGAGCAAGTGAGATTGCTGGATACGAACAAACGTTTTGAAGCCTTAATCAAAATTAACGTCCTTTATTGACACAAAACAAGGATTGAAGTCGGTCTTGTTTGTTCAAAAGCAGTATACCATGTAGCTTGGCTGATGGATGAGTAACATAGTTCGCAGTAATATACGAGATAGGGCCACATTATTTATTTCGAAAATACAGGCAGATTTATCATTTGATGAGATTACTTTCGGTAGGCATGAAGTTCTACAGCAATAGTATACCTTTACATAAAATCGCTCTCATTTGTCAACGCGAGCTGTGCTAAAAAATGACGTCAAATAGGCTGTTACGCCGTTTGTCACAGATTAGCGGGCTACTCAACTACGAACACGTATGACATAGAAATTAAATATATCAAGTTAGTCAAGTAGGCCCATATAATTAGTCCCCAGTCTGTATCCACTCGACAAGCAATAGCAAGACTGCGACCAGATTTATGATGAGCAAACAGGCTTCCCCGCTACAGGTTAACTCCTATTTTTCTTGAAAATCAGTAGTAAGGGCAAATACAGGGTGTCGCATCGGGAACTCCCTCGATAGATTTCTCGAAAAGTAGGAATGTGATATTTTTGAAAATTTGGGAGTATACTAATGTCGATGAGGCAACGGCAGCTAAAATATTTTTAAGATGGTGGCATTTCCGGTTATATCGGAAGCTGATGCCAACTTGCTTATTTTAAATTGGATTGGATTGTACATAAAATTCTAATTAAATTTCATATATAATCGCCTATACCTAAGTTTTTGACATATTTCAAAATTTATGTCAAAAATGTTTGCAGGTCCTAAAATAATTGTTCATTTCCCCTAGGTGGAACACCTTATTGTTTAATGTGGCTGATATTCTGGTGAACATGAATATAGTTTAATAGACTTTGTATGATATTTCGATAATTATTTATAGAGGGAGGTCAAAAAATTAGTATAAAAAAAACTGAATATCGAAAATTGCCAAAAGTCCATTTTTTCAAATGAAAAATGATTTTTATTTATCGCATCAAGCATTAAAAATTAGCGTAACTTTATACCTACAGAGTTATCTATCCCAAAAATGTTTACTTTTCGAGTAATTTGCAATTTATTACTTTTATATTGTAAAACTCCCATAAGTACAGATTTAGTTTTTTAATTAGTTGGCTATGACGGCGAGTCGTGGAGAACAAACAATTGCGCTCTACAAAAACGTAATTTTATAATAATGTCCTGCATTTGACAGCTCATTTATAAATTATTAATAATAATCATGCCCCCGCGTTTAAATTTCACTTACGAAGAGTATTTCAATTTATTTATTATTTATGGTGAATGCAACAGAGTGATATCAAGAACATGTGGCTAAACGAGCAATAGAAAATTTACAAAATTTCGGTTGTGTGAAGCTTAAGATTCAAGGGAATGAACCTTTAGTTAACGATGAATCCATTGAAATAGCAGTTTTGGGGTATTTTTATGCTTTTCCGATAATGTTTTTGGGACAAGCCGCACGAGAGTCAGGTTTTATGAAAGATACCATTAGCAGAATTTTGCACAAACACAATGTTTATCCATACAAGTTATCATTAGTACAACAATTAAAAGAAAACGATTTTTTTAAAAGAATTAAATTTTGCGAATTGATTATTACAAGGTATCAAGAAAATGATTCTTTCCTGAAAAATATTATATGATCAGATAAAGCAAAATGTACCAAAAATGGCCTTTTGAATCGACGCAATTCTCATTATTGGGCTAATGAGAATCTTCATGTAATAAGAGAAAGAAACTTTCAAGTCAATGGAAATTCAATGTATACTGCGCTGTCAGATATAATCAAGCTACCTGTCTACAGTTTTATGGAGAAAATTTAAATAGTAAGTTAGCAATTAATAGTTTTTTTATAAAAGAAACTGATAAGAATGTGCTATATGCAAATACCTGTAGTATGAGTTTTTTAACACATAAGGTCAGCATTGCCAACATTAGTACTAATTTATCTCATTTAAAAATATTTGGATATTAAAGAAAACGTTATGCAGTTATAAACATTATGATTATTAATAGCCAATAATATTTTCAGGTGAATGTTATTTGAACATTCTTCGGAATTTAGAAAACAATTACTTGGATAATTTACCACTTGCTGATCATCGAAGTCTATCAACATGACGGTGCTGTACTTAATAAACAATTTCTTAGAAGCTACGTTTTACGATCAATGGTTTGCTAATAATGGCTGCACTGTTCTTCAGATCTAAGAGTCTTGGACTACTTTATATGGGGGACAATAAAAAATATTGTTTACCAGAACCCACTGACCACTCTAGATCACTGTAAGCAGAGAGTAAGAAATGCATTTGCTAGTTTGAGTCCGGATATCATAAGACCTGCCACTCATCAGGAGTTAATACGTAGATGTTTTAAATGTTTGGAAGCTAGGGGGTGGTCATTTTGAACATGTACACTAAGTTGTTTCTTGTTATGTTTTAATTTTGTTCTATAGTAGTATGAAAGTTAAATATAGATCGAAATAGCTTATTGTTTCCTGTTATTCATTTCACTGTATGTGTGCTTGTTTGGAAATCTACTAGCAAACTTATCATAATTAGCACGTTGAAGGACAGTAACGCCGATTGACGTCCTCCATGGCGTGGTAAATTCTGCCAGAACACCGTGTGACGTCTGAACTTATTCTGGCAGTAAAAGGCAGGACGTTTATTGGCGTCCCATTTGCCATACCGAATGTTAAACATGGTAGCCTACTGCCACATTTGGCACTAACGATATCAGAATACTGCCGCTTTTGTTATGCTAAAAATGCTTTACACTGATGTGTGTCCCCCACTCCTTATGGAACTACCCTTTCTCTCCAAATTTACACAGAACGCCGATAGACGTCCAGCGATCCATGCAAATCTAGTTAGTCATTCTTCTGGTGCCAAGGTGGACGTATGATTCTTCCGATACCATCCTATTTTTACGCGGGACCGACCACGTGTTTCCTATTTTTCGAGATTTATTTGTGTAGTGCAGTTTTTACGGCCATGTAAGTAGTAACTCTATTTATGATACGTTTTGTACTAAGTCTTTCTAAATACTTCATTCCTTTCCAACGTTATTGTTTTGTAATAACTATGTAAGGTTATGTGGTGTCATTATAGTTAGTATCTAATAATTCTACAAAAATAAAACACTCTTGTCGTTTTCATACATCTGATAAAAAAGTATTTCATATTGTTTTATTTATTTTAGATGAGTGGTGCCAATGATCCTTACGAACGGGAACAGCGAAGGTTGCAACAACTATTCGACGAGCTCTCTAGCGACGATGAGGAAATCGACCCATTTCATGACAGCGATGGTAGTTCAGATCCAGATTACGAGCCAAATGAATCTTCAGATACCGATGCAGAAGAAGCAGGTCCAAGTCGATACCAGGAACAGGAATTATTATTCAACCATACATCATCAGAAGAAGATAACGATGAGGAAAGCATCCATTTATCTGATCCTGAAAGGCAGAGTGATGATGGCGACGAATCCGAATCATCATGGGAAACCACAACAGCGCCAATTCCCGTTTTTGACTTTGATGAGAACAGTGTAGGTGTCAAAGTGAATATTGATGAAACTTCTACACCCCTTGAAGTTTTTGAATTTCTCTTCACGCCGCAAATATTAGAATACATAGTACAGTGCTCAAACGATTACGGAGAGTTACTATCGAAAACAAATAGGCCAAAAACTAGGCACAGCAGGTCAGCAAATTACCGAGCAATAACCATTGATGAAATGAAAGCCTTTCTTGGCCTTTGTTTGCTGCAAGGACAAGTTTCGACCACCAACGTTCGACGATTTTTTTCCTACAAAGACATACTTTATTATCACCCGATATTCCCTTTCGTTATGTCCGCAAGAAGGTTTGAGCATATACTTAGGGTTTTATGCTGTTCAGCGCCAAAATCAAAAGGAAAAGCAAAAATTCAGATGCTTTTAGACATGCTTATAGATCAGTATCAAAAAGCTTATGGACCCACCAGAGAATTGTCTCTAGATGAATCGTTGCTACATTTTCGAGGCAGGCTCGGATTTAGGGTCTACATCAAGAACAAGAAAGACCGCTACGGAATAAAATTTTATGAGTTGACGACATCTGATGGATACGTGTTGAATATGGAAATGTATAGTGGACACAGCAGTGACCATACTAACGATAACGGCAAAACAGAAAAAGGAAACGATAGCCATTTTACTTTAACAGAAAAGTTAGTTCTGCGGCTAATGAAACCTTACCTACTGAAAGGGCACGAATTATTCATGGATAATTACTATAACAGTGTTTCGTTGTCCGAAAAACTATTGAGACTAAAAACGCATACTAATGGTACCCTCAGGTCTAATCGTCGAGGTAATCCAAAGGCTCTAGTAAAGAAAAAATTGAAGCGCGGTGAACATTTTTGGATGAGAAAAAAGCAAGTGTATGTGGCCAAATGGAAAGATAAACGAGATCTTCTAGTGATAACCACCAGAAATCATCCACGCATGATCACAGTAAGGAATAGGTATGGGAAAGAAAAAAATAAGCCCGAAGAAGTAGCAACATATAACGAACACATGTCAGGTATTGATCGATGCGATCAGATGACAGCAACCTATACCACTACAAGGAAAACCATTAGATGGTATAAAAAGACAATGTTGTATCTGCTTGACTTGACTGCGTGGAATTCTTTTTTTCTGTATAAAAAGGCGATTCACGTAAATACCGTTTCGTGCAATTTAGAGATAACCTAATCAAATCTCTAATCAAGCTACCTGTTGATATAGAAGGACGAAATATCATTCGTATACAAAAACATGACAGCCGCCGTTTTGAACAATCAGATCAAGTTCAACATATTGCGCAGGGAATGCAAGGACATTGGCCGGAAAAAAATCCGGGAACCCCTGGAGTCAAGTCTCTGAAAAAATCCGTATTTTTGAAGTGTAGAATGTGCACTAAAAAAAATATACGACGGGAAACCAGTTTTAGATGTAAAGGCTGTAAAGAAAAACCGCCTTTTGCCCAGCTTGTTTTGAAGAATGGCACGACCAGTGAACGACCGATAATACTTCTATCATATGTAATGAATATTTGTTTTATTTTCTTTAGACTTTGTTGAAGACAGGTTACTATAGAATAAAATATTTCCTTTTTATGGTTGTTGTTTCATTATAATACCTATATTACCCTTTTTAAACTATTGACGTCTATCGGCGTCCTGGCGAAATATAGAAAAAATTTCACCTAAGAATTGACAGGACGTATATAGACGTCAAAATCAAAAAGCTCTTAGAACAACATTGTCAATTTTTTTTCGGAATTGTAAGATATTTTCTAGACTAATCATGACATTCCAATTTGTAATTCATTGAAAAACACAAGTGCCATAGCACCAACCCGGTATCGCCTACTGTCCTTCAACGTGTTAGTCTTCACATTATTCTAATTATGAATACATGAAAATTATTAATTATATTATTACTAAAAGCTTAAGATTAGACTTATATAGAAAAGTAATAAATTACAAATTACTCGAAAAGTAAACATGTTTGGGATAGATAACCCTGTATAAAGTTATCCTAATTTTTAATGCTTGATGCGATAAACTTATAAAAATAGGGGGTTTTCATCCGAAAAAATCGACTTTTGGCAATTTTTGACATTCAATTTTTATACTATTTTTTTGACCACCCTGTATAAATAATTATCAAAATATAATACAAAGTCTATACTATATATCCCTGTTTACCAGAAAATCAATCCATAATAAACAATAAGGTGTTCTACATAGGTAAATGAACAATTCAATTTAGGGCCATTTTTGACATAAAATTTGAAATATGTCAAAAACGGTTATACTTGGGTATAGGAGACTATACATGGAATGTGATTAGAATTTTATGCTAGAATCTGAATATTGGCTAATATACAGGGTGTCCAATGTGAAATAATATTTCAGCTGCTGTTGTGCAATCGACATTAGTCTACTCCCAAATTTTCCAAAATATTATATGTCTACTTTTAGAGAAATCTGTCGATGGAGTTCTCGATGCGACACCCTGTATACGTAAAATATGTTTCATAGGTGCGTATACTAGTAATTAACGGGGTTAGAAGCGTAAAAATGCATTGATCCTAAAAGCTGAGACATACCCTCCCTCCAAGATGTAGTGGAAAGTCACACTGCCAGACAGATCGACGAAAATGAGTGACAGGGTTCCATGTAATACTTAAAAAACATACTGAAAAGCCGTCCCATGATAGAAGCTACATAAGATTGTTGGTGAGACTACAACATATTACGACCCCGCTCACAAAATGCGAGTCTACCGCATATTTTATCTTGCTGCGGGGTTCCAGGAAAAGAAAGTAAGAGTTTGGCTGTTTGTTATAAGTACAACAACAAAAGAGTTGGACGACCTCACCACCGACACCTCTTTGTCATCAGAGTGCCTCATATTCTCTCAATCACCGAAAATAATGAGTGCACTGAAATAACCTAATGTGACTTGACTAACCTTTCAGTCCGGGCTCGTCTGCCAATCAATCAAATCGCATTTTCATATCCAGCAAGTTGCTTCCCTCCAGTTTGGCCTCGTTTTATACTGATTGAAAAATAATAACGTGCTTATATCGGAAGCTTTATGAATTATTCCGGCAACATCTATAAATTTTCCGGAGAGATTCGATTTTGTGGAGCCAATGTTATTACAGAAGCCAATCGGACAGATTAGCTGATTTTTCTTATCGCACGTCGGCTGGAGTTATTCGACAGTTCTTTATATATTTGTATTACTACGTCACGGAAGTCCAACAAGTGTGGAGAAGTATAATAGACCAGGCCAATCTACACAGGACTGCAAAGGACTATCACGTTACTTGTGAAAGCATGTTAACGATTTGGACGGATTGATAATTGATATAGATGTTCTTAAGGTTGTGGGACTCCTTTACCGCAGAGACTAAAGATAAGAGAGACAGTCAGAAACGTACGTATCAGGCCACGCCACCGCTCCTGTTATGAGGAGCTTAAAGAACTGCCTAAGGTTAGTAGAACTGTGAAAGGCTCCCCAGGTAGATTATTTCACAATCTCAATATCCCAGTGACAAAGTAGCGGTCGAGTCGGCCAGTGCTACATGTACGAAGTCCGACACGGTTAGGATGACAGGCTTAACAGCAAAGCTCGTTGGCGTAGCGGTAGCAGAGAGCTGGACCGCCGATGGCTTGACGGTACGAAAGAGTTCCGAGACTGTCCGTTAAAGTAGAGTCATCGATCAATCGGACAGCCCACCTCAGAACAGCATCGAATATGGATAATATAGTCAGGGCGGCACCACCCCAAACATGTGTGCAGTACTCAGGCTAGGTCTTATTTGGGCCTTGTACAGAGTGAGGAGGTCATGTGGAGAAACGTGTTTTTTATACTCCAACTACCACGAACGCCTAAGGCCTAAACACCCATTGGGTACCGTGGGGCTATAGGGGGATACAGGGGAAAGGGGGAACGCCACACGGACTCTGGCGAGGGAACACGTGAGAGTGCAACATGCACACATTCTGGCTCCGCCTACGAGATCGGTCGAGTGGTACCTCCGCTTTCGACAGTCAGAGACCGTCTACCACCTACTGAAAATGACAACATCCATAGCCAAGAGAAAAATTTCTCTTGGAACGGGATTCGAACCCGCGCAGCGCACGGCGACTGATCAGGAGACCGAATAGTCTACTACTGTGGCCACCGCTGCTGCTCTTTGATAGAACTCAGTTACCATTGAAACCTGATGAGCGCTAGGGTGCTTGTTGTTAGTTAAGGTACAATACTGTATTTTGGAAGCAATAAACTGTACCAGATCGTTGCGTCCCCAAGCAGTGATAACCACCAGGTCTCTTATGAGAGAGGAAGTAGCTGCACAACTTATTTTTTCCAGCTCACCCACAGAGTTCGGCTTGTCACTCTGAATTCCTGGAATTGTTTGATTGTCATATCCTGTTGCAAAAATCCCCAAATAATTATCTAAAAATGGTAAAATCCGTCAAATGGAGCACTCGTCAGAATTTTATAATATCAAAATATTATTTGGTGTAGGTAGGTAATCCAATAATGGGTCGGAGCGATACAAGCAATCCATATGTACTTAACAATTCGATTATGTGTGGGAAAGAGATTTTTCGGTCTGCTGATCAGTCGCGTGCGCTGCGCGGGTTCGAAACCCATCCCAAGAGAAATTTTTCTCTTCGCTAGGGATGTTGTGATTGTCTGTAGGTGGTATATGGTCTCTGATTGTCGAACGCGGAGGTACCACCTGGCGGATCTCGTAGGCGGGGCAGAATGTGCATGTTGGATGTATCCCCCTATAGCCCCACGGTACCCCATGGGTGTTTAGACCTTAGGCCTTCGTGGTAGTTGGAGTATAGAAAAAAAAACGTCCTGGGTAGGTATTCTCGCTACCAATGGACGCCAAGCCCCTAAAACAATAAGCTAGCATTCAACCACCCGTCGTTTTTTATCCCAAGCTTTTATTTTTGTATTTACGTTAATTAGTACTAGTACAAATTTTGAACGAGCTAACCTTGACCAGTTGAGCTGAAATTTTGTACACACGTTTGGTTTACATGACAATACAAAATTAATTGAGTGCTGCTTATGGGTATCAAAGGAAAGGGCTTAATCAGAGAAATGCAATAAGTAAGGTGGTGTTATTGTAAATAAAGTATGCCGCCTGCCAAAAATGATGATTATATGGGCACCGGACTGATGAGGGATACACAATTAGCAGAGTGACGTCATTCTAAATGAAATATGGCGGCCATAAAATGACGATATACGTTTTTCAAATTTACCCCTATAATATGAATGATAAAAGGGCTTGATGGGAGAAACACAATAAGAAAAGTAACTGCCACCGCTAAGTAGCGATTTATAATTTCTATGGTCACCGCAATGATATAAGTTTGAAATGAAAGGGCTTGATGAGAGAACAACAAATAACAAAATATAGCAATGAATTCCAAATTATGCTCGCCAATGATCTCCTCTTTTTATTAAAACTTTTACAAGGAGAATGACTTTTCAAGTAGTTGATCGATTACGCAGTGACACTCATCCATGTTTAATTTCACGCACACTTCAGCCGGTAACCAAAACGGCTACTAACGAGTGAGAAGTGAGTAACCAAATCAAAAAATGGTAACAAGCCCACATAATAGTCGCAGCGCCCCACGCACTCGGGAGACCGCGATCAGACACGAGCCAGTACCGACGGTCCCCGACGGGCTACCAGATGTATCCATAAATGAAAATGGTAACAACCCACAACTAAGTCGAGGCGAGTCAGTTTCATCGTGTTCGCAAGACCTAGACACTATAGAGCGCATTATTTTTGTAGGGCTAATTTACTATTTACTAAATTACTATTACACATCGCTGTTGGTAAACAAATAAATGAATCTATTTCACAGTACTTAGTCATAAAATATTTATTTTTTAGATTTTTAACTGTTACCAATGGTAACAATGGTTACGTGGACGCTTCGCCACTGAGTAGCTTCTTTATGGTTTGAATATTTCCAATCGGAAAAAATATTTTTAAATTATCAGTTCATATAATTAACAGCCAGACGTTTGGTTTTGAAAATGTGTTTCTTTATTTTCAATGTACTGGACCCGTGACCCTCGTTCATCATCAGGAAAGCGTCAAACGTCGTCCGAGAACGTTAAAACCTACCCAGAACTGTGGTCGCAACATACCGTTTGACTGTTATGCAACCTTCGACTACAAATGCTGCATGAGCATTGTGCATCCTGTTTGGTTGAGCATCTGATTGATATTCTCCAAACTGACAGAGGGACCATACGTTTTTTACTACCAGGTTTTTTCTTACGATTTGCTATTGGATCTGGAATGCACATATTTTTTGATTCGCCATTTTACGTCCAAGCTGTTGTGTCTTATTTCATCACATGACAAACAGCGTGATTCCATTCAGACGTCGAAGCACTACTTCTCTCATTTTAAAATTTCGCACACATTTCTGAAACTTGTGACAGAATCCAAGGTTGCTGAGTAGATTCGGTGAGACAGGGAGGTTATCGGTGAGGATAAGAGGAAAGGGGAGAGGCGAGTTCAAACAGAA